GCAAATGTAACTTGTACAGAGAGAGCGGGAGAGAGTGGGAGCACGGCTTGAGAGATAAGCAACATATGGTGTAGATACTTTAGAGCTCATTGTGGAAAATTCGTGGCAGGCCTGGAAGAAAGCAAGCGACTAGCTAGAAGCCAGCGGCCAGAGCCTTATACTATTATCAGCAGACACGGCCAATGGCCAGCAGCAGCAGCAGCAGCAGCGGCGGCGGCAACCGCAGTAACAACAACAAACAGCAACTTAAAGCAATTACAACAATCAACGTTCGCCGCACGATAAGCGATAGCTGCAACAACAATCCAAGTGTGTGTGTGTGTGTGTGTGTGTGCGTGTGTGTGTGTGGCTTACCCAAGTGCTGGCCCACAATGAACCGCGATTACAAACACAAAACCGAGGGCCCAGCTAACAACAACAACAATGGGCAATAAACGGATCTGAGAGCGAGGCAGAAACGCTTTTGATTGGTGACTGCCGCTGGGGTAAGCTAATGAATACAAGTATCTCATAGACACACACACATAGAGACTCATACATAAGTATGTGTGCGCATATGTAATGCTACTTAAGTGCCGGCTGCCAAAAGACTCTACTCATTTTGTTTATTAATTTAAAAATGCAACAGCCAGCGAAAACCATTGGCAACATATGCGAGGAAGAAGAAGAACAGCATCTATAACAACAACAATAAACATCAGCAACAACAGCCGTTGGCAACATTTGCTTGCAGAAAGACTTAGTCGAGTCCTAAGCTTAGCTCGCGGTTTGTGTCTTACCTAAGTTATTTATAGACACACATTTACTTTGCATTTGATTAATGCGTTAGTTATGTGACTTATACTCGCTTGCTGAACTCTTATATTTTCACTTATTTTTAGCTAAGCCGTGTTCCTACAAATGTCTTATATTGCGCTACTACGTACTATAACAGATATGAACTATGAACATAATGTTGCAAAAGCAACTGTATATAAGAAAATATGAGAATGAGTAGCAAGGAGCAATAGTAAAAGAAAGTCAGAGTCAGAGTTAGAGTAAGAGGAGTATATAAAGAGATCTGGCAAATGACATAAAATACATAAATTCTTCATCACAATCGTCTAGCCATTTCTAAGAAGTCAAGACTATTAGACAAATATATATATGTATATACATACACATATATGTATATAAATACATACATATATTGATAGAGCTAAGATTCTATTGCAAAAAAGTCTCAAGATATTTAAACGAAGGCAAATTTGGGTAAGTTAGACACCTACAAAAATAACTTATGCATATGTGCATATGCATACATACATACATTTACATGTGCGTTATGTACATCTCTGTTTTCGATATATCCCTCTATCGCGTTCTTCGAATACGCCGTTACGAATCGTCAGGCACATGGCCAATTTCGAAAGTGCGACGTTTCTGCGTTCGCTTTTTGGGTTCTTAACGATATGCGACAATTTCTGACCCCAAGAGACCAAAACGCGAGTACAGCACGAGCAAGAGGCAAGAAGCACGAGAGCATGAGAAAGCCGAAGGCAGCACTCGAAATCGAAACTGAAAACCAAGCCAAACGGCGGAGCAAAAGGCAAGCGAGCGAGCGAGCGAGATGGATAGAGCGTGAGGGAGGAAGGGAGGTAGAGCGGGTGAGAGAGAGGCGTCGCACACAGCTGCACGCATTACGCCACAAATTTATTTGGATTGGGGTTGGGTCAGAATTTAAATATTTCAGCGCCAACAACAAAAACAACGTCAACTGATTTTTCGCGTTTCGGGCTCGTTTTACTTGATCGCTCGAACGGCTCTTCTTCGATCGCTTGCTCGGTGCCCCAATCTATTTTGCCTATTTGTTGCCTGGTCTGCTTCTTCTTCTTCTGCTTCTTCCGCTGTTGCTTCATCACAAATAAAAAAATGTTGGTTGGAAATCATTTTCAACTTGGTCTTGAATTGTCACCCCCACCTCCGGCTCGCTCTTGACAAACACATTCCCCATTTATACATTTTTATTGCCTGATTGAGTTGACTTGGGTTGGGCTTGGCTTCAATGAGGGTTCGTTTTCGGGCTTATCGAGTCCATAGAACCGGGTAACAGTGCAAAGCAAAAACGGCAACAGTTACGATCGTTATGAACGGGCTCCCCTTCCACTGTCTAACTGCTGGCGCCCCTCCGCCTCTTCCTCTCTGTTCGCACCATCTTTGCCCTGCGCTCTACTCGGGTTCTGACCTGTGTCAATATTTATTGGCTTTATTTACAGCCAGAGCCGCTTTTGGTATTTGCATTGAATTCGTGATTAATTTGCCTGATAAGCAGCGAACCAAGTGTGAGAGCTCTGGGTATAGGTCTGGTATTTCCGATAGTACCTAATTGAACTACAAAAACATTTAATATCTAGTGGTATTAATTCACCATTTAATCACTTAGTTCGATCAGTTCTGGCCGTCTCCAGGGAACACACATTCACGTATTTTTCTCACTCAATACACGATAGATAAGATTTGTACTCCAAATTATTCCTTCCAATCTCGATTTCAATCTTTCTTTTGTTATTTGTATACATCACTCATCTTCTTTAGCACATTCTCTCTTTAGCAGCATAGGCTAATCTGCATACTCTTCATTACCATACCAAATTCATTATTCAAATTGATCCTCTCTTTACCCTCCCCTCCTCTACCCATCTGCAGCTGATCCTCTCTTACACACATTCGTTTAGTAAGCGCTTGGAACAATTCCAACAAACCGTTTTATGACTGCCCAATTAACGGCGCAAAGAGCACAAATACCAAAGAAATAATAATAAAATATAAGAGTACAAAAAAATCATCTCGCACATTCAAAAATTTAATCAGCAGTAGAAAACGAATTCCGCTTGCATGACTTTTAATTTGGCTTGAAAACAAATGCAGAAGAGAAGAGAGGCGCAGCGAAACAACGGAATCAAGAGGAAGCATGCAAAGGCTGCAACGGAAACGACGAACTCTATCTATCTCTCTCTCTCTCTCTGTCGTGCGGGTGAACGAGAGGGAAAGCTTTGGGCTTTACGGTTTTATGTGTGCGTTGTCTTCTTTTATTTTTGCCAGAATTGATCATCGCAACATTTGTGCGGGCACGTTGTTGTTGTTGCTTCTGCCCCTTGTGCCCTGTGTGTGGGGCAAGCCGAGGGCCAGAATATATACAGAATACATTAATTGACACTTGGCCGGAAATAGTTCATTAGGCATAAATTACATACAGACAAAAGCCATTCTCCTCCCTCTCACTCTCTCCCACACTCGCTAGATTTTTTTGCTAGATTTCAGCGGCTTAAATGACTGCACGGGAATTTTGTCGTTATCGCCGTTTCCAATGGGCAGCGTACAAAACGTTGCAAGACACAAATGTTGGGCATTAACATTAAATAAGACTCGAGATATGTTGACACACACACGCATACGCATGCGTATACAGTAAGTCCGCCTCTCTTCTGTTCATTATCTATGCCTGATCGCTCGCCCTTTCTCTTTCGCACTGTCGTTGGTTTCGTTAGGCTCAACATGTGTGCTCCAAATGTTGTTTGTAAGTTTTTACAAGAGCCTGGAACTACGAGACTGCGCGACAGCGGCTGCAAAACAAGGCAACAAAGCGCAGACGTAAAGTAAAACAGAAGCAAATGTAAAACACACAAAAACAAAAACACAAAGTGGGCATATTAATAAATTCAACTAAAACGCAATTGAACGCGACCTCAAGCACACAGGCACAGACGCAGCAGCAGACGCAGACGCCAACGCCGCTGTCGTCGTCACCACGAACCAAACTAAAGAGAACCATCATTAAGCGGGCTCAAATCGGCCGCGCTCCCCAACAGTTCCCTTCTCCTACAATCACTCACATACACATGCGCATAATATTTTACTTATTCCCCTCTTAGAAACTGCAGACAGTCGAATGCCGTGCAGCAACGAAATGGAAAATGAAATAAGTGCAACTATTGTCGAAGAGGGAGTGGAAAAGTGGGAGAGAGTGAGCAGCGGATCGAGCTACAAAGTAGCCGGATAATGAATGCAATCTGAAAAAGGCGGCATGGGCACATAAGAAAAATGCGCTACACTCATCAATATGTAATTAAATCTGCTCTAATTTGCATATATTCAAATTATTTACTCACCTACAATTCATAATATGAGTTTTAATCACATGTGAAGTGACAAAATATTTCTATATTTATTCACATTTATTTTTTATGTGTATGTGTATGCAAAGCTTTCTTTAAAACTTTACACATTAACTCAACGATGGCTCATAGCTCAAGTGTAGGGTATCGCGCCGAGAACAATTTGCCCATCTCCAACAATAACAGCACGAAGTAGAATCGACGACGGCTACTGAAAAACGTCAGCGATGCAAACGCGTCAACGGATTTTTGTGTTACACATAATTTGAGTTCTTGATTTGCTTCTGTGTGTGCGTGTGTGTATGTGTTAGTGACGTTGTCGTCTCAGTCGCTCTGCTTTTTTGCGTTCATTCTTTTGCTCGCTTTTACTTTCTGTTGTTGCAATTAAACGGCGTTTTTCCGTCTGAACGCCAGTAAGACGTAAGAGAGAGAGCGAGAGCCGAAGTGAGCCGAGCCAACGGCCTGGACTGCTCTTTGAGCTCAATGCGCGCATCGTGCGCTATCGTTCGTGGCGGCGACGCCGGCGCAGGCGTCGATAACGGTAATGCCGCCGCGCACACACGTTGTGTATTGGCCCAGGCAGAGACGAAGAGCACAATTGACTGAGAGAGAGAGAGGCAAAGTGCGCGCATGTTGAGCGCGCGTGATTTTGTGGCTCTTTCGCCTGCGCCTGGGTCTTTACTTGTGGCTCGCGTATGTATGATTGTGTGCGTGTGTGTGAGTCGTGTTTGTGTTTTTATACCCTTGCGCCGAGTATTCGAATTTTATGACGAAGGTTGGCAATAGCGTCGACCTCACTCAAACGCAGTTTGTATAGTAAAGCTACTCAGAGTATTTAGTGTGCTGCATGCGAAAGTGTGCGCTTCTTGTATGTTTTGGCTTCGCATCGAAAATGCGGGCTTGCTGCTAGCAGCGCTGCTGACGTCGTCGCCGTTGTCGTTGTCGTTGTTGTCGCGGCCGTCACAGCTCGCGGTGGTTGTTATTTTTTTGGTTTTGGTTTTTAGTTGCTGTTTAAACTTGGTCGTGAGAGGGTAGCAGCCCCCGTCGTCATCCATTGCCACCCAAACGATCGCGCGCTGGCAAAAAGCAACAGTAAAGTGAATGTGATAAGTGAACTTTGGGTCAAGTGAACAAAGTGAACCTGGTTGACGCGCTGGCCAACAACAACAAAAACAACATTAATCTACAAATACTTCAACAAATTTTAATGGCGCCCACTGCCGTCGCCTCATCGGGCTCCTCACCCACCACAACGAATTCGCTGCAGGACATGAGCGCAGCCGCCGCGGCCATAGCTCTGGACATGAAGCCCAAAGTCGAATTGGCCGTGGTGCCTGCTCAAAAGATTAAAAAATGTGCGTACGAACCCAACCCCAGCCCCGATTATAATGTGATTTCCCTCAAACAACAACAATAATAATAATAATAATAATAATAATAATAATAATAATAATAATAACAACAACAACTGTTTATTTCCATTGTCTTTCCAGTGGTGCGCCGTAATGCCTCCGACAAGCTAAAGCTCATCCAAATGGTGCACGACAATCCCATATTGTGGGACTCCCGCCTGCCCAACTTCAAGGGCGCCGAGGAGGAGAAGAACCGGGCCTGGGAGCACATTGGCCGAGAATTCAATGCGCCTGGTCGACGCGTTGCACGCGCCTTCAAGTCCCTGCGCGAATCGTATCGCCGAGAATTGGCTCACGTCAAATTGATGGGCAACGGCTTCAAGCCAAAGTGGAGCCTGTACGAGGCCATGGATTTCCTCAGAGATGTCATCAGAGAAAGAAAGTGAGTACGAATCGCAAGCGAACAAGAAAATCAAAACAAAAACTCGTAACAACCCTTAGCAAATATAAAAAGCAATAATTAGGCTGGACCCAAAACATTTAGCATGCACTTGTTGAACCAAAAATAAATATATAAATTCATGTGATTATTAAGTTATTAAATTGGCATTAAATACATACCAAATAAGGTTTTATATATAATGATTAAGTATTTATTTTTTGGTTCAGCCTAATATAATTAAGCTTGCACTTTCTATAAGCACATTTATTTATGTTGTAAGGTTCAGCCTAATTGAATTTAGCTTTGCATTTCCCTATCATAGGTAGGTGTGTACATATATAAATAACCTAGAAACTACTGGAAAGCCTTGTTCGCAATATATTGTTATGGTCAGGCTTATCGGATGGCTCGGCTTACACCCACCTGAATTTGGTCACTTTGCAATCATTGAATCCAATCATGCTTTCCATTGTCTGCCCTTTGACTAATATTACAAGTGAAGTCGCTGCGATAAGCGATTGTTATACACTGTTATACACGCACTGGACTCAGACAGAAACAGAAGCATGTGTGCGTGCGTGTGTGTGTGAGGTGTGGTGGGGGCAAAGACCAGCCTCATAGTATGAATAACGGTTCTTACTTTTGTTAGCTTTTGGTTTTGGTTTTGCTAGCAAAATTATAAATTGAATTCAAACCTCAACTTCAGATTAGCTACTGTCATATGGGCTTGATTCACGATCAACTTGGACTACGGCCGTGCAATATTTATTACAGAATTTCCAGTGTTTTTCTTCTGCGTTGCGTTTTGCTGTCTTCTGCATTTCTGTTTACGCTTCTGCGTTGCAGTGCAAAGAGCAAAAACTTAGATTCTAGCCAAAGCCTTTGCCACGTTTCAGCGGATGACTCAATCGATCTTGTTTGAAATTGAAATGATGGCGCATATTCTTATTGTAGACGTAATATATATATGCATACATATACATACATATGTAGCTGTTTATAAATGTATTTACAATACATATAAGGTACTTATTTGTTGCTCAGTGAAGTGAAACATGGCATAAGGCGATTCAGTTTGTGGGTTCAGCGCAGGGAGCGAGCTCTTCATGCTGCTAATTCTTGGAAAGCTGACTTCCACTGGATTAGTGGGCCAGTTGAATAAAAAGTTAGAAATAATTATTGAGTTATGATTCACACAGTTTAGATAGTGTGTAACTACTTGGATTCCCACCCATTTCCAGCAGCTGGACTGACAAACTGAAAGCCTTACAGATTATTATTTTGTTAATTCTTATCAGAAAATAATTTCACTCTTATATTTCTATACGATGAGTCATATAATATAAGAGTCGCTTGAACAAGAAATTCTATTTATAACAATTTGATTGGTAGTTTCTTTGGGTTTTATAGATCACATATTAGATAATATTTAAAATTGAAATTATATTAATATCGAAAAGTGAAAAATTGGTTTCAAAACTTTCGTTTTATTTTATTTTTGAGAGTCCTTTTTCGTATCATTTTTTATCTCTGTTTCATTGCTCTGCCATTTGCATGACGAGCAAAGCGAGAACCAGACAAATCTCAGCTAAGCCTCTGTAAAAACATCTGCCCAATACACACTCACACACATGCACGCACACTTGCATATGCAAATATGCTGGAAAAAAACTCGAAAAATGTTGGACGGAAAAAAGCAATTCGAACAAAGAAATGACCAGGCTCTGGGCTTCTGATTCTGCGGCTCATGTGGAGCAAACAGCCAATTCGCCGTGCCCCTCTCGCAGCACTTCGCTCTATGAGTAGATTGGTATGTGTGTGTGTGTGTTGTACTTTATGTACATATATTTATATGAAATAAGGCCATTTCCTTTCAATTGACTGTACCCACATCGGCAGCAGCAACCAGAGCTGAGGCAACACAGTCGGCGGCCCCGGGTCCACACATGCCCGCACACACACACATAGACTCACACACACACACACACACATACTTATTTAAATTTTTATTATTTTGAGCTGATAACAGACAACGGAACGGAACGGGCCGGGCCCGGGACCGTGGCTTGAGCCATAAAAACAGATCTTGTCCAGAGCGAAAATTATACAACGCTATTGTTGTTGTTGTCGTAGCTATTATTGCTGCTGTTGTTGTCGTCGTCGGCTTCGCCATCGCCACTTGAACCAAAAACAAAATCGAGGGAAGCTGCAAAAACCAACAAAACGCTTTAGCCTTAGCTGCTGCTGCTGCTGGTGGTGGCAGAGCGAGCGAGTGAACGAGCGAACCAAACGAACACGAGTGCAGCGTGAACGGCACAGAGCGAGCGCGAATGAGCGCGCTAGAGAGAGTGATAAATTAACGCAATGAGAGGGCAGCAAATATGAAAATGACAATCAGCAGCAGACGGGGACAAAACGAACGCGCGATGAGCGATTGCGGCGAGTGGACCAAGTTTAGAAAGAAGCGTAGATTACAAATTTTTGCTCGACATGCAGTATGAGCGAGAGAATATGAGAGAAAGAGAGAGCGTGCGACAATGTGAGTGATTGCCGCTATAAGTGTGCGTGTGTGTGTTTGGCTGAGCAATTGAAGCGACGCAGCCAAACGGACCAGGGTTAAAAATAAATACGCGAACCGACCAGCCGCCAACGGGGTTGGTCGCCAACACAGATGACCAGGGTCTGCTACGCTCTCTTTTATGCTCTTTCTCTCGCGCTCTCTGTCTGGTTGTGTTCGGTTCTGTGTCACGCTTATGATTTAATAAGCAAATGAGCTGCAAAATTGATGAAATTATTGTCGGGCCAAGCCGAGCCGTTCGCCCTAGCCCCACCAACTTACCACACCCCAAGCTCTGCGTTCCAGCCGAGCCGAATTGCTTGACCAACCGCGCCCCATAATCATAAAAAAGAATCTCAGCTGGGAGCTGGCAGCTGAACCAAAAAAAAAAAGAATATGCGTCACTTGAGGCCCCACCAAAATACTGGGCGTATACCCAATTTGCGCAACAAAACTCTGTCGCATGCAACGCGAATGTTATTAAAATATTTACAGCGATTAAGCAATTGACAACTAAATATTTGAGTTGAAATTTGTTATCGTTGAGCGAAGCTTGCAAAATATATGATCTTAATGGGGATTGCCTCATTGATCAATCCCCAACTATATATAAGAGAGAGTGCAACTATCTTAGCTGATCATTCCTGTTTTCGATCTAATTTCTGATCATAGAATCGTTCAAATATGCTATAATTCCTTGAAGCACATATCATAATATTAACCACAAAACTTGACTTGACTTGAAGTCTTGTCAATCGCTTTGGCTTATCAAGGCAAGTCAGCACAGCCAAGAGCGGAAACTTGACCATTAGTCAGTCGTTAGCGCTGATAAACGTACGAAATGGGGAAAAGAAAAATCGGAATTCCTCATAATGAGCTACGCAATTAAATAGAAATGCAAACTGTCCATCCATTTGGTTTAGGCTGGGCCTATGTTTGGGTTCTGGGCCCTGGCGGAAGCAAACATTGATAAGACTTGGGAAATGGACGAAAATAAACATAGAGCACCAAATGAAGGAGAACCGCAGAAACCACAAGCAAATAGCAAATAGCAAACAGCCAGCGCTTCGGCTCTGGAACATGTGAAAATGCATTTGGCCCTGATTATGTGGAAAATGTGAAAAATGTGAAAAATGTTGAAGCGGGGAAAGTGGAAAGATGCGAAGATGGAAAATGTGTGCGCATGGCTCTGCCGCATATCATTTTACAGTTCCAATTGTAAACTACCTGCCCCGGAGGCCCTGACAGCAAAAGGAGCCCCGTCCTGGCAACTGGGCCCAAGCCTTGGCCCAACAGCAACATTTTCCCTCTTGCCGCGCCTTGCCTCGTCTCGGCTTGGTCTAAAAATAGCCACGTCTCGCTGCATTTGAGGCATTCAGGCAGCTGTGGAAAATGCGCCTGAAATTTGAGTAGCACAAGAAACCAGCCCCGAAGACTAAAACCAAAACCAAAACCGGAGCCAGAACTAGAACCGAACCCAAACCCAAAGCCAAATCAAAATCCGAATATAGCGAAAAACATCACGAGTTTTTGGGTAGTTTCCAGTTTTGTTGCTTTCTTTTATTTTATTTTATTTTATTTTTTGGGTTTGTTAGAGCACGTTCCTATGTAATTGTGTCGCTTTGGGGTTGTTTGGCGTTGAGCTCCATTGTGGAGATATTTATAGACATTGTTTCCATGTAAAGTCAGGCAGGAGGATAGAGGGGAGAAATGACAATATGATATAAATTATGTAGATCGACGAGAGATCAAACAAGCCCTTATATATGCTTGTTTGATCTCTCGTCGATCTACATAATTTATATCATATTGTCATTTCTCCCCTCTATCCTCCTATATATATATATCCTATATATATATATATATAAGTATAAGTATAAAAATAAGTATAAGTATAAGTATAAGTATAAGTATAAGTATAAGTATAAGTATAAGTATAAGTATAAGTATAAGTATAAGTATAAGTATAAGTATAAGTATAAGTATAAGTATAAGTATAAGTATAAGTATAAGTATAGGTATAGTATAAGTATAAGTATAAGTATAAGTATAAGTATATAAGTATACGTATCCGTCTCCGTCTACGTCTCCGTCTCACATAAGTATAAGTATAAGTATAAGTATAAGTATAAGTATAAGATAAGTATAAGTATAAGTATAAGTATAAGTATAAGTATAAGTATAAGTATAAGTATAAGTATAAGTATAAGTATAAGTATAAGTATAAGTATAAGTATAAGTATAAGTATAAGTATAAGTATAAGTATAAGTATAAGTATAAGTATAAGTATAAGTATAAGTATAAGTATACGTATAAGTATAAGTATAAGTATACGTATAAGTATAAGTATAAGTATAAGTATAAGTATAAGATAAGTATAAGTATAAGTATAAGTATAAGTATAAGTATAAGTATAAGTATAAGTATAAGTATAAGTATAAGTATAAGTATAAGTATAAGTATAAGTATAAGTATAAGTATAAAGTAATATTTACTATAAGCTCAAGTGTTAATACTTCACTTTGTCTTTCTCTCTTAACCCGAGCTCTCCTTACTACAACTCCTGCAATTACATCTTATTTAAGTCCACCTCTTTCTTCTTCTCTCTTTGCAGGGGCGCTTCACATGCTGGCGACCTCAGCCTGAGTGCATTTGCTCATCACTTGCATAACAATAACAACAACAACAACAACAACAATAGCAATAACAACAATAACAGTAATAGCAACAACAACAATAGCCACAGCAGCAACAACAACAACAACAATCACAGCATGTTGAGTGCAAGCAAAGCAGCAGCAGCAGCCGCAGCCGCTGCTGCCGGCTTGAAGCTGAGCTCATCCTTCAACGACTCTTCGAGCGCAGTGCTGAATCTGTCAAAGTGCTCGGCGCTGAACATGAGCGGTGACGATTACTACTACGATTACAATGTGAAGTCCGAGCTGGATTTGTCGGCGGGTGGCGGCAGCGCTGGCAATGCGGGCAGCAGCAGCAGCAGCAGCGGCGGCAGCAGTGGTGGCAGCGCTGGCCTCGGCCTGGGCTTGCCCTTGGCGTTGCCGCTGCTGCCGATGCCCGCCCATCAGCAGGCATTGGCGCAGGCGCAGGCGCAGGCGTTGCACAATGATAGCCGCGTTAGCTCCACACGCAACGACAGCGGCGCTGCGCAGCCGAATCATCATCAGAGCTTCGACGACTTGGACGCCAGTTCGCTGCGTAGCGGCGATGAGGATGCCGGCAATGCCTCCGATGAGGTGGAGGAGCTGGAGGCCATCGATGCCGACTTTCCCTATCCCATTATACTCGACTCGAATTCGCCGCGCAGCATCAATGGCGGCGGCGAAGTCGGCCAGACGCCCAGCATTGGCCGCAAGCGCCGTCGCAACGGCGAAACGGACGATCTGGAGGATGGCGATATGGAGGGCGATGATTATGAGGATCAAATGCTGCAGCAGCATCGCCATTTGCGGCAGCAACAGAATGTTGCAGCTGTGGCCGGTGGCTTGGAGCTGCCGCCGCCGCAAACGGTGCGCGAAGTGCTAAACTCCAAGTTCTGTGGCTTCATCTCGGCCAAGCTGAACAGCATGGAGGACTCCGAGGCGGATAATCTGATGAATCGCATACTCCTACTGGTCGTGCAAATGCAACAGTGCGAGACAGCCAAATAGGCGTCGCACTATGGGGCATGGAATCGGGTACCGGGAATCGGGTTGGGGTTATTTCTAGTTTATAGTCCTAGCAGAGTAGTGGAGGAGAGGAATGAGCTCATTATGGATTAATGCAGCTGCTCAAAGCAAAATGTTTTCTTGCCCTTTACCAAAATATTTCACAAATATTACTTTCGTCTCTCAATATGCCATAAATCAAGCCAAAATTGTGCCATGCCAAAAAGGAAACCCAACGGAAGACTTCTTTAAAGCTATATCCAAAAAAAGAAAAGGAAAACAAAGAAAGAAATATGCAAATATATATAAAACTCAATGAAAAGACACAAGACACAAAGACAAAGATAGTTAGCCATATATGAGATTTAGTTTATTATAAACGTTAATTTAGTTCTAAGTGGATCCATCTATATATATGTCTATATATATGATATAACTAAAACTGTTTCAGTTTAATTTCTAGCTCTCTGCAACATTTTTGTTCTAGTTCTATAAACATTATTTTAGCCAACATCTCATCACACGTTATCGTCTAGTTTCTCTTCTTCTTGAAGATAGTTCTTAACTCAAATCATGAAGAGTACAAAAAACTTTTGAAATCTTGCCAATGCGCACAGAATCTGCAGCATTGTGATCGTCTCTAAGTTCTACATCAAGTGGCAAATACATATTAAATATATTATTTCATATTACATTTATTATAAAAAAACTATGCTTAGCTGCTTAATAAAAAATATTTTCTTAAAAAACAAAAACATGCAAAGCGATGTAAATATTTATATACTGAATGAAAAGTTAAATAAAATATGCATATTACAAAAAATTATCAAAAATTGTTATAAATATTTTAGTGTATGCGAGGGTAGCTTGAAAAATTATAATAAAATATATATTAGCATTTTTTTTATATATATTTATATCTGAATATATTTATAAGTTTTATAAAATGAATAGTTTCTCAAGTATTTGAACTTAGATATTTTTAAAAATAATTTATTATATTTTTAGCACTTTATTTAACTTTTATTAACTTTTATTTATTTTTAAACTATTTTTTTAGCTTTATTTTGAGAGCTTAAAAATAGTTTAAATATAAATAAAAGAAGTTAAACAAATCGTAATATATAAAAAATATGCGCCCTTAAAATATATTTTTAAATTTAAAAGAAAAAGAAAAATTTGATAGATTTTTCAAATATTGCAACTTTTTAATATTTAAAATTAAAATTTTTTTGTATATAAAATAACGTTTTTTTGGCTTTTATTATACCTGCTCTTACAGCTCTTTTTAATATTTGATATTTGTTTAATATTAGTCTCTATAGGAAATTATTTCTATTTTTTTAGAATTATTTAGAATTGAATTTGTTTTAATTTTTTTGAACAATTCTTTCTGTTTAATCAGAGAGATTAGATTTGTTATAAATAAAATTTTTATAGCTCTATAAATAAAACTTAGCTTAAGAACTATTAAGAGCTATTAAAGTCAGAATATTTTATGTATGATAAATACTTATTATCCTTTTTTTAATATATATTCCATTTATTCTGCCTATTTTTAATGCACTTCTAGAATATCTATGTTATCTATAATGTGTGATATTTTATATATTTTTCTGTTAAATCTGCTTTTGTATCTTAAGATCTTATCGTACAACTCTTACATTATAATGTATATATTCATCCATTAGGTCTACCTACTTCATATATGCTCTCTCTCTCTCTCTCTAACTCATCTTTCTCTTTCTCAAATCATGTCCAATACTTCCCTTCTCAATCATATAGCCATCTATCTTATCGCTCCAAGTGCTGTGCCATCTTCACACAACAATTTGTGTTTATCTGAAAATATCATTAAACAAGCCAGACCATTAGCATATCTCACACATGTGTAGCGGCGCTTGAATGGTTTGTGCCATGGCAAACTCACACATTTGGCCAGATGTCAGGCAGAAAGACAGCGAGCGAGAGAGAGGAAGACCCGCAGGACAGGACCTGGTACGGAAGGCGTCATAAAAACCAGTCGACAAATGAGACAAAAGATAAGCCCAGCAGCGCATGCGCCATGGGACAGGCGAGGCGAGGGGGCAGCCAGATGTGGGTATGATATAGACCAACTTAGAAAGAGGCCCTCAGCGAGACAGGGCTGGCTCGCTGATGAATGAAGCGGATGGGAAAGCGGCGAGAACAATGCGACTGCTGCTTGGCTGCTGCCAAGATGAGAAAACAACCCTCGATGCCAGGTCGACACGATCTGGCCCTTTAGACGGTACGCTCTGCTACCTAACAGACAGGCAGACAGACTGCAAAAAATAGCTGCGATGTGCGCGGAAAATTGCCAAAAACTGGTTTCATTCAGCATCAGCTTATTGTGTGTTAGCCTTGGTCGAGAGCGCCGCTTAGGGGATGCTGCTCAGCGGGTTCAATGACCATGGCCAGCAGCATCGCAGGGTAGAGCTCAATGGTACAGCTTACAGGGTTTTTCGAGTCAATCAAATGTTTGCTCTCGTCACAGATTTGCTGTACTTGGAAATCATTTGAACAGAAAGTTGAGAAACTATTGAGAAATTATTGAACATGGCTAAGGTCTTTAATATATAGAAAACAGTTAGAGGGTCGAGCTGTGCCCTAACTCAAACTCTTTACCAATTTAAATAATGTAATTTTATTGTTCATAGCAAACGCACACCTCACATACTATGCTACTTCATATACTAAGCTCTACAACCCTTCAAAAAATATATATATCACTTGGGAAGCCGTTGGTATAGCCCTAAACTATGCTAAAACATTGTCAAAGTCAGTTAAGCAGCTGCTGAGCTTTGAGAGTGTTTTAAAATAACTTAGGATTATCCTTCCAATCTTGGTGCTTCCGCCCTCCCTAACAACTTTGGAGCTCAAGCCTTGGCCTTATCATCATCAGCTTTCTTGGGCTTACTGATTTCTGCCTTTGCCTTCGACTTTGATTTGTCGCGTCCTTTCTTTTGAGTATTCGGATCCTCCAGTTGTGTACGCAGCCTGGAGCAGATGAGCTGACAGAAGCGACGTCCGAAGGAAGTGCGTTGAACGGAACCGTATTTGCTGCAAGTACTTGGATAGACCGGATAGCAAGGCTTACAGCAGTCAGGTGGCACGTTCACGCAGACCTGAGCTTGCGGCTTGCTGCATGGGGTAAACATCTGCGCAATCGACTGGCTCTTCGTGCTTGTGCTGCTCTGCTGCTTAGTCAACTTGGATTTGCCAATCGATTTGCCCTCGCCTTTGTTGTCCTTAGTCTCCGCTGTTGGAGTGTGGCATGAGTCGGTTTCTTGTGTGTGGCATCCGCAAGCCGAGCTGGTGCCGCGCAGCGCAGTCGTTGGCCTTGGCGCATGTGCACTCAGGTCCATGGCATCAACGGAATACTCGATGCGTAGGTTGGGTTCACTCTTGAACTTGCATTTGACCTGCTTCCAGCTGCTGCCATCGGCGGGCTTTGATTTGAGGCAGGATTTTCGTGTGCAGACGCCTGCGTCCGGCGAGAGCTTCTGAATGTCCTGATAGGCGTGACACGATTTGGTGGCACGCATATTGGATGTGTTCCTCGAACTAGTTCTTGGCGTATTCGGAGCTAAGCCGAATGATTTGCCGCGCTGATGGGGCGGATTGTTGAGGCCTTGCAATCTAGAGCACTGCGGACTAGTTCTAGTCGAGTCTCGAGCTCTAGCTTGCTGGCCCGTCGCGCAAGAACACATTCGCGACGATTCCTTAGCTCTAGAGGAGCTTCTCCTCTTCACCTCCAGTTGACTGAGCGAGCTTTGGGCATTATTGCGACTGCCCTTTCTGCCAGTCTCGCTCTTGGAGGCCTGCAGCGGGTAGCTTCGTGGACTGTCGCCAGGTCTGTGGCTCGATCTATTCGATTCTATGCGATGGTTCGAGTGCAGTTTGTCGAGGGCCGCAACTTGTTGCAGGGTCATGTGATGTATTTTGGGCTCCAGTTCATTGAAAATTTTGGAGATGAGAGGGCTCGCCAGACGTCTCTCGGTCTTGTTTTTAATTTCCTGTCTCTCATGGGATGTCGACTTGGTTAGATTGTGGCGTGCCGATGTATGGGACTTCCAAGGCTGTTGGGCAAAGGGGCTGCGCTGAGTTAAACCTCTCGAGTTACTTTTGCTAGACTTATCCGGTTCACTCCTTTGCTTATAGCTGGAAGTTGTGGGACTCTTAACAGGCGATTTACTGCGCTTAGAACTCTTCGGCTCAATCGGTGGAGTTTTGGGTGGCGATTTACTTTCCATGCGCTTCTCTTTCTTCTTTTTAGTACGTTTCTTTTTCACATCCTCTTTTGCGTAGGTCTCGTCGACGTCAACGTAATCATCGTGATTCCAGATCTCCGAGAGGTAGCCACACCTGCATGCCACCGCAGAGGCCCGCTCCCTGCACACGATACAGCAGCAATGCTTGTCATGCAACTGGGCATTCGAAGCGCATGAGATTTGGTCCCAGTCCTCCGACTCGGATGGCCAATATTCGCTCGTCTCGTAGCTGCTTAAGTACTCCATGCAGAAGCAGGTGTCCGCGACCTCGGCCAAGTTCTTGAGTCGACTCCTCAGCTCGGCAATGATGTTGCGCTGCTTGAGACGCACGTTGCCCAGCCTGTGCGCATCGTTCAGCAGACTGGGCAGCTCGTTGTTCTGCTCGTTGTCATCGATGCCCTGGCAGATGACACGCTCCAGCTCGTGCAGCAGGCACAGGCGCTCCTGGCCCGTCGACGTGGCGATTTGCCGCAAGCGAAACTGAATCTTGGCATAGTGCGAGGTTAAGGAGAAGAGCGAATCCTGCAGATCCTGCACATCGTTTTCCAGCTCACACTCGTACTCCGTTAGCTTGCGGCTCATTAGCTGGCCATCGCTGTTGAGCCAGGTGTAGCTGCGCTGCAGCCCACAGACTTCCACATACTCAGTTTCCGTTAGTGCCTCAACTGATCGCGTCGGCTTCTGCCAACAACATTTCATTGTTTACGTATGAGTTTTTCGGGGTTTTCAGTATTTCGGTAGTTGCTTTTTGTGCTGGGTTTGTATTTTATCTCCATTTAGCATAGAAATTTTGATAGGAACCGAAAAATCACGAATGCCAAAACTGGAAAACACTTTCAGGTCCCACATAAAGTGAGCCTTGCCTCAAGCTGTAAAAACTATTCTGAATCAACTATTCACAATCGATTTGCCACACCTCGTAGCCCAGTCGCAAGAGGCACAGCAAGTTGAGACATGCTATGAAGACAAACGACTGCATTAGAGTATCCATGTTTTGCTGTATCCTTTTCTTTTTTAAGTCTAGGAAAACTTCGTCGATTGCTCAAAATAACAAAATAAAATTTCAAATGAAGTTTTAGGGGAAAACGATGAAATTATATAGGAAGTCTCCAGTCGATAATGGAAAGCTACATTGGTATTCCTCTCAAGACTTCAGAGATCCATAATGCATATCTGTCTTAATGAATTGATTTTCATGAGATTTTCATTAGATTTTCATTAGATTTTCATTAGATTTTTGTAAGTTTTTAAGATCTTCAGCAGACCTTCATTACACCTTCATTAGTTCTTTAGACTTTTATTAGAGCTTCATTAGACTTTCATTAGACTTTATTATATCTTTATTAGGCTTTCATTACACATTCATTAGACCTCCATTACACCTTCATTAGTCCTTTATTAGACCTTCATTAGTTCTTTAGACTTTATTAGATCTTCATAAGACTTTCATTACACATTCATTAGACCTTCATTAGACCTTCATTAGACCTTAATTAGATCTTCATTAGATCTTCATAAGATCTCCATTAGGCTTTCATTAAACCTTCATTACATCTTCTTACACTTTCATTAGACCTTCATCACAGCTTTTGTATCTTACAGATACTTTAGTGGCGGTTAGCTACTAGTGTCACTAGCAGATACTCTATCTTTATCTGTGTCAGATACTTTGGCATCTTAGAAAAGACAAAGAACTGTTTGTTTCCATTATGCCAAGTCCAATCTAAGCCAATATATCTAAACTAAACTGCATATTGCGGCGTTCTATCTTATAGATACTTTTGTATATCTTTGATTGCTTCTGTATCTCAAAGATGCTTCTAGATTCAATAGCTTTTCAGATACTTTTCTGTTGTGTCTAAACTTTTCACATGATTGACAATTTTCATTTTGTATCTCACAGCCTTTGTAGCTTAACTTGTATCTCAGAGATACTTTTATGCTGTTGCTTAGATACATTTGTATTTCAACTAAAACTTTACTATTTTTTATCACTTAACTTCTATAAATATCCAAACTAAGTTGCTAAGATGTATTTGTATCTGTAAGATACTTTTGCATTATCTTGCAGCTAAAAGTTGCAATTTCGATTTAATATTAAGGAAAAATTCGTATCTTAAAGATACATTTTAATTATAACTCATATAGCTCAGAGATACTTTAAAGTTCTGCTTGCTTTCTACCTGCCAATCACTCATTCTGAAAGTATCTACAAGATACAAATCTCATCTTACAGATACTCGTGCACGTTTGCTATCCACAAAGATACTTTTCTATCTTTTACATGTCAGATGCACTGTTCTGGCTTATCTCTGTTGCCTTATGCTGCCATATGCTTATCTTTCGCTTCTCCCTCCTTGAGCGTCTCAATTTCTCGACAATTATTCAAATTATTCACTTCGATAATTAGCTCTGAGCCAAGTAATTATGGGGTTCGTTTCTTTATGCTTTTCACTAATTAGTTTCCTTGCATTTCTTATTAGCTGTCAGGTGTGTTGTCTGCTGGTTCTGCTCTGCAGCTACTGTTGCAAGTGCCCCAGTTTCAGCCCAGCTCCTCTGTTGCACATGCAACACAATGCGCCACGAAATGTGCAACAAGCTGAAAAATTGGCAGTTGTAATCAATGCCCGGTCCATCGGGCATACCCAGCCACGCCCGCGGCCATCGCCGCCCGCCATTTCACACGAGTCGCTGGGCGCCAATGCAGAACGCACTAAACAAATTTCATGTATCCAAAAGATTTAGTCATGTTGCAAGCAATTGATTTGGGGCCAGCCAAATTGCCAGCTCCATGCGCGAGCTGTAAGAGAGAGCGAGATAGGGGAGAGGGGAGATGGGGAGGGACGCCCCGAGTTGGAATGGAACAAAAAGGCCACGCGCGCCCTTTGTAAGCGGATAAACATGAAAGCTATATGCGAAATTTTTCGGCCGAATGTGGTTAGAGTTGGGAGAGCGGGTGAGGCGAAATGGAAAGCTGATTACCGTTAACAACAACAGTAACAAAAACAACAATAACAACGACAATGACAACGACAAGAACAACTGTTATCAATTTTATTGCATAGTCTGCTTTAAGGCGCAGATAGAGTACCGTTATAATATGAGCTCGCATATAACGGTTTAGACTCTGCACAATTAATGGGCTGCGCAGCTCACGCCGGCCGGCGTGTTTTTTTTTCTTTATTTCTTTCTTTCTTGAGGCAGGTTCATCAAGCAGCAGCTGCTGCTGTTGCTGTTATTGCTGCCGACGGCGTTTGCCTTTTGGCTTTCACGCTTCGGCCGCAGCTCGTGCTCGTAAATCGCCGCGTGGCGCCTTCGAGTGGCCGGGCGCGTGCAGTTAGGAATGACAACTCCAAAGTGTCAGCTGCCAGCAATTTGTGGCTTTCAAATGTGGAGCAAAGCAATTCAAGGAGCGTAACAGAGCACTGTTACCTAGACAGACAGAGAAAGAGAAAGAGAGAGAGAGATAACTGGAGGGAGAGCGCATTTATGTTAGGAGAAGAGCTGGAACTTTTATGGCAACTTCGGCAGAACGTTTTGGCAAAGCGAAACATGGGAAGCGCGCTTCCAGGTATTTTATGGCACAGTATTTAAGAGAACGCATTTGTTTACTTAAGAGAGCGGCGATTGGAAAGCGGCTTTTGTTGAGCTATGACAAAAATTCTTTTGTGATTTAATAATTAATATCAAAAAATGTGAAATATTTATAAATTATATAATAATTAAAAAAAAAACAATAAATATTGTTTTTAAATATTTTTAATAAATAAAATATGTATAATTTTATTTAATTTCATTGTTTTTTATGTAATATTATTTTATTCTAAATTTCTTTGCTTATAAAACACAGTTTTCTTCTCTATAACCATTCTTCAGCCTTCCTGCACAGCTGCTCGCTGTGAAGTGATTGTAAATTTGTATAAATTTCTCAACTGCTCACACTTTCCATGCATTTCCAATGACTTTCCCGTGTATGCAACAGCATGCAGAGCGCCATAAACTTACGACAGAGAGCGCCAGCAATGCACGTTGCCACATGCATTACTCTCTCTTTCTCTCTCTCTCTCTCTCTCCCTGTTGAGCTCAACAACACAACAAACCATTTATAATGCTGGCAAAAGCATGTGTAAGTAATATGAAAATAATATATGTTTATAAAATATAAAATTTAATATTTTTATTTATTTTTATAATTACTTCTTACATTTTAATATTTTCATTAATTATTAAGCAACAACTTACTTGCTTACGGAACACTTTGGCAATGGGTCGAGGGAAAATCACGAATGCGTCTAACGGTAGCCGGCGCTATGTCTCTGTTTTGTTTGCTTTTGGGCTAACCATTCGCCTGAGCTTCGTATCGCATTGGAAGCCTTTGACTGTCGCTGCTGCTGCTGCTGCCGCTGCTGTCGCCTCTGTTGGCTGGCTGGCTGGTTGACTGGCTGGCAGCGGTCGTCGTCGCCAACGAGTGCAGCGAATTGGGCGAGCTGTGTGCAATAGTCGCTTCAGTTGCAAACGAACGATTTAAGCGAAAAGTTCGAAAAGTTCCAGCGCCGTGACGTGACTGAAATTTGCAAGCGCCCGAGCGAATCTCTTGACAACCTTAAACCAAAAACTGCGTGTAAATTGAGACAAACAACCAATACATAGCAGAATTGACAAAAAGATAACGTTTTTTGGGCGGGCAACGGTAAAAGCCAAGCTGAAGGAAAATCAAATGCTCTTAGCGCTCCAGTGTCAAGTGCAACTCCCATTGGCTGTTGGCAGCTGTTTGCTTCACGTGTTTCGTACACGAAATCAACTTGAAAGCCGCATCAGCTGTGCCGCCTAATGTAGTCGAGCTTGTGGCAGGCAGCGCTGCGTTTTCCATAAATGTTGCAAGCAGCCGGAAAGTGTGCTATGAAAATTTGCAATTTATGGAAATTGCCGGCGATCGTCAGAGGCAAACAGAGAGTTTCTAATACTTGGAAAATTTAATAACAGCTCTTAAGACTTATTTAAATTAGATTTTTGAAGAGGAAAAACCAGTTTCCTCTGAATTTTTTTATAAATAATAGTCTTTAGTGGAGTAGAAATAGTTTCTAATGCTAATAGCAATTTAGAATAATTTCCCTATAGCTTGAAAATTTAATAGAGATTGAGAATTCTTAATGCTTTTATAGTAAAAGTTCGATAATTAAATAAAATATTTTCTTTTCCGCATTTTTTGGTAAACTTGACATCAGGGTTTCAGAGATTTTCTAATGCTTAGAAACTTGAATTAAATTATATATAAAGTAATGTTGTTATCTTCTTGGCTTAAGAGCTAGAAATTTTAATAAATATAACCAAATTTTGAGAGCTTGTAGCAGGGTTTAGCAGAGTTTCTTTAAAATCAATTTTTTAGTTATATTTTAGAGATCTTTGCAGCCTCAGCTGAAAAAAGCTAAGAATTTAATAGAACATATTTTAAGCAATATTTTCTGGCTTTTAATGGCCCAATCTCTGCTCTGCAATTTCCCTCTAAAGCTAACGTTACCATATGGCTTCTGGCTAGACATTACTTTTCATTCAATTTTGCTCAATTCGTTTCATTAAGCAAAAGCTTAATTAACTTAGAAATTTAATCATCACTCCTAAAAGCAGCTGCCCAGCTTTTAAGCAAATAAGTCTATAGTAAATATATGTATATATATATAAATTTATTTATTTATATATTTTTGAAACGTGTGTGCAATTTAGGCATTAAAATCAACTGAAAAATCGTCAATAAAATCAAATGTCATAAATCAATTAAGAAACCAGTGCGGATTTATTTAAACAATAATAAAGAAATATAAATCAATTTTAACACAACGAAATATTTGTTTAGCTGCAATTTATGGGTAAGACTGAACTTTATATAAAAAAATCTATATACTATATTTAATTATATATAAGTAATTTGAATTACAAAGAGGTTCTAGTTTATTTACT